GAGAGTCTCCTTCAACTACCAAATGCTGAACTCCTAATTGTTCTGCAATCTGAATACCTTGTACCGCCACCAAAATCTCAGCTCTATTAGAGTCTCCTAATCCCACAGGACCTGAAAACAAGGCTAATATATTGCTCTCCGTATCTCTTAGCACCCCTCCTATTCCCGATGGGCCTGGGTTTCCTTGGCTGCTGCCATTAAAATTCAGCTTTACCCATCCTTCAGGCGGAGGGGTCAACACTGCAGAAACCTTGTCCTTCCTTGTATGGCTGCTAGCCACCACTAACCAATTTCTCCAAATATCATCAAAGGAAAAACTATGAAAGAGGTCCATAGTTCTCAGCCAATGAATGGCCCTAGTTAAGATGCAATCCTCAACAGCTTGAATGCTTCTTTCCTTTTCCTTGAATATTCTTGCATTCCTTTCTTCCCAAATTGTCCACAATGCAGTTGCTCTAATACATATCCACATCATTTTTCCTTTTTTTGTAGGGCACACAAAAAAAGAATGATCAAATAGCTGACTTAAATCTGTGGACAAATTCCACCTGCACCCAAACAAAGAAAAAATCCAACTCCAAATGGCTCTAGAAAAGGAACAAGATACAAGTAGATGGGAGCAATCCTCCCCATTAGCCCTGCAAAGTACACACCAGTTAGGGGATAAACACATGAAAGGCCTTTTCTTTTGCAAGCAGTCCAAGGTATTAATCCTTCTATAAAGCACCTCCCAGCAAAAAACAACATTTTTTGGTGGAACAGGTCTAAACCAAATCTCCTTGGTCGAAAAACCCCACTGACTCGGGGGAAGAGGAAAGGGACTTAAAAAAAGAAGCACAAGAGAAGTACCCTTTTGGATTAGGGGACCATAATCTCACATCCAAACTAAGAGGGTCCAAAAAGACACTGCCAAGAAGAGACAACAGATCTGAGACACTGTTAAGTTCATCATCCCTCAAACCTCTCCGAAAGCCAAAATCCCAAATTAAGGATGAAGGTGAAATAGGAGATGGAAGAAAACGAGAGATAACTTTTTCCTTGTAAAGGGAAATAGAATAAAGAGACGGGAATTGGTCCTTTAGAGTAGCAGTCCCCACCCAAGTGTCTTCCCAAAATAAAACAAGGTTACCAGAATTGACATCATACCTGACAAAGTTGAGAAATTGAGGGAGGATACTTTCGATTGCTTTCCAAGGAGATGCCTACATTGCTTGTCTTGATACACCCACATCCCATCCGTTTTCCAGTCATCCATGTATACTATCTATCACTTCATGCCACAACCTCTCCCTTTCTCTAGGCCACCTCCACAACCATTTTCCTAATAGGGCTTTTTTCTTGAGAGTTAACCTACCTAACCCCAGTCCACCTTCCTCTTTGCTCCTACAAACTATTCCCCAATTAATTAAATGATCTTTCTTTTCCTCCCCTGGCTCCCAAAGAAAATTTCTCATTAACCTCTCCAGTTTCTTAGCCTCCCTATTAGGTATCCTAAAAAT